CCCCAAAACCCCAAAACCCCGCTATAATCGAGATATTATGAGAAAGTCAAAAAGGAAAAGTTTATTATAAGATATAGATAAATTTACAATTAAATCCAAATGAAAAATTTTCACTACCTCTGCTTTATATCGAGTAAAGCAGGCATCTACTTTCTATTACTCTTTATTAAGGTTTATAAGAAAATATTCTATTGATTATTAAACTTAGGCTTACGACTCTCCTTGACAGCACTATTCATATGCTTTAATTCCTCTTCTAGTAATTTGAATTTTTCTATCTACTATTTGTACAAAGTCTTACTATCCTTCATATATTCTTACTAACTCTTGATTTACTTACTATTTTAAGAAAATAAATCACTATGCTGCATCTTAGGACTCAAATCATTTTGGAAAGATTGATTCATCAACTTATTTTCTTGGAAGGTCATATTGTGAGCTTAATTACTATTAAGACTTTGTTCTTTTTTATGAATAGTACTATGAGCAATTATTCCTGTACCAGAAGATGACTGGAGTGGAGTGTGAAGGATAGATGGATGATTCGTAACTTGATAAGGATTATTTAAATTGATTTTTTACTGCTGCTATTTTTCTTATTTAGTATGAAATGTCTAATTCACATTTGCACTTGATCCTTCATGTGAAGTTTGCTTTCTAGAATTAATTTAAGTTTGCGCCCTTGATAATAAGATTTATGGAAGAATTTTTGATGTTGGAGCCTCTTTGAGCTAATGATTAGGGGATTAATAGTAATCTGATTGTAAATTTTCAAAATTGATAGGAGATTTAGACTCGGTTTTCAAATAAACAACTTCTTCTTTCTTATGAGAAGCAGGAAATCTATTCATATCGAACCTCTTAAACATGACAGGGCTTATGGTACTTTTAGATGGTGTTTTATGTTCATGCATTGAATTATTAATAATTTCATTTGTATACGGAGCAACAATTTAACTATCATATAGTTTCAGTTAGTCTTCTTATTTTATACTTGAAACATACTTAATTGATTGATTTAGGTTTTGAGAATTTTTACTGGGACTTAAGAAAAAACTTTATTAAGTTTTATAATTTCCAATCGAAGCCAACAACTTTTATTCAGGTATATTGATTGAGTTTCTATTAAGCTGATGCTCATTAACAGGTTAATTATCTTGCCTTCCAAGATTTTTATTAAGTCTTTCAATTTCATTAACTAGCATATTTACTTTAATTGCATATTTTGTTCTATCCTTTTCTGGGCTTACTGAATTAGGCTTAGACATTTGAGCAAAAATGTTATTCTTAAAGTCTGCTTTTTCTCAATGCCTCATCTACCAAAATCCACTGCTGCTATTAAGTTTCTCTTTAGAGCTCTCAAGCTATTCTTCCTCAAGTCTTTTTTAAGCAGCAATTTATCTTGCTTATGCTATTGCTTAATCAGTTATGAGTTTTTATTTGCTAGGGTCAAATAAATTCGAGCTCATTAATCTTCCATTGTGCTAAAGTACAGGATTTTTCATTGGAGGATTTCTTATTCTCTCAGGTGATTTCTGTAGAATCAAAAATTGCTTTTATTCCTAAAAATTTGAGGTGCTATTTTATGATAAATTTGCTGAAGACATTTTATTTTTAGTTAGATTCCAGCCTAGATATGCTGTTTTTGACGCTTAACTTGTTACAGGATTTTTATACTAAGCAACCTAAACATTAAGTTAATTTTCAGAACTCTACGATTAGTTTAAATGCTATTATAGCATTAATTATTGCTTTTTTTATCTCTCAAGCTCCTCTAGTTACTCCTATAGATGTTTAATTCTATTGGTCTGATTTTATTTTTTCAGCTATAGATCATAGAACTGGTCATTTTTATCATATTCATCTTAATTCTTCCTTTTAAAGTTATATGGAGGACTCTATAGGGGAAATTCTTCTTAATATAATGGTTAAAAATCAAGTTCATCATCAGCAAGTTATAAATTTGCTTATGATGTTTGTCTTACAAACCCTTTTTAATTGTCTTTTTAATCTTATATCTGTATAAAATCTTAGTTATAACTACTCTATGGTAATAGTTCATCAAATGACACCTAGTCCTCTTTTTAAAATACAGTACTAATCATTTCATAAAATTCTGTCTAATCAATATTATCTTCACTTGGATCACTATCTGATCCACCCAAATCCTAATCGCTCTCACTGTCTTCATTTTCCTCCTCTAGTATTTGATTCTGCTATGCAAGATTAATTGCTTTATCCAATTCTTTTTATTCAAAAAAGTCTCTCCAATTACTTCCAATTGATGATTGATATAGTAGAGTGCTCTTAGAACTATAACTAACTGAATCATCATCATTTAAAGATGACCCACTTCTTATCATATTTTTATTAGAACTTGTTTTCCTTTTTTAAAATTTGTCCATTTTAGCTTTTGCAGATTTGATACTCTATTTTTAGCCTCCTTTATTTTAACTTTTAATTGCAGAGATCTAATTGTTTCCAGACGCGGTTGTAGTGCTGATGGCGAAACTTTGTTTTCGATTCATTGATTATTAATTTTGAGTGGCAACTTAATTAACTACGGTCTATTATTATTTTGTACTTGTATTATAAGCAGTTTCTATGAATGATTTTCTGTGTCTAATTTCAATTATTTTTGCATTTTAAGTATTGCTTTGATGCTAAAGTAAGGTCTTTTTTAGTCTTTGACTTTTTTTAACTGTCAAATTGTTCTCTTCTTATACCTTTTCTCTAGCTGGCTTTCCAGTTACATCATTCAATTTAGATACCTTGAGCCAGCCGTTGGTTTATTAAAATTCTTATTCAAGCTCTGGTTCTAGATTATTATATTAAGATATTGAATTTAAAAAGCTCTCTCCCAAATCATGATAATCTTTAATAGTCATTTATAAAATCTCTTAAAATCCATCATCCTATTTAGAATCTTATTTGCCATAGAGGGAAGCTTCTAGAGTAAAGCTATTTGTTATTTTAAGTTCATTCCAGCAAACAACTCTAGCAGTATTGAGTTTACATTTTTCAATTTTAAATCTACAATCTCTATAGTTGAAAAGAGAAGTTATTGATGCCAATATTTTTGGGAGTAATCTTGTCTTAGTCCATGATAGCAATCCTGAATTGGCTGCTTTATGACAACCATATACAAATGAATTAAGCTTTCTATTGTGTCCATGAAGATCACAGAAAATTTAAACTCCTTTTTCATACTATGTATTAAATTTCTTTAGCATTTTCTTAAGAAAGAAAACCTCTGGATGAATTAAAGGATTAGGATTTGTCCATCTTCTGTTTAAATCCAAACCAACCAAAGACGCTCTTCCATTTCCTATGCTAACACCATCAACATTAATCATAGGAATAATTTTAATGATGTAATTCTAGAGTAGTTGATCATACTTGCCACTTTAAGTATTAGCAATCTCGAAAATAATATTCTGCATAATATAAGAAGCATTTGTCTCACCAGCATGAACTCTAGCACATATGTATATTACTTTCCTTTTCTTGTATTTAAGTTGCCCTTAACTACATCTAGCTGTTACAGTTAGCTGATAAATTGGTAAACCTCCTACAGAATAAGCCATTATTTCTTATTTATACAATAAATTACCAGACTTAATCTCAAATTCATCCTTATAATAGTAACTAGTATTTTTCTTTTTATTCATTTTAGCTATCTCTAACATATTCTGATCAAAATCAGTTACACTATTTTACTCGTTTAATATAGCTTTTTCCAAGGAATTCAGTTTCATAAGTTTGAGTCCTTAGTTTCTGATTTCTAAATGCTACAATTCAAACTAATTGAGTCTTTATCTCCCTTATATTTTAAGTTCCTATGCTAAAGACTCAGTGCTACTTTTAATTCCCATATCTACTCCAATCTTTTTTAAAGAATGAGGAAGGAGCATTAAATTTTATTTGACCTACTAGAGATCACTAATAAGTTACGAATAAGTAAATGGTATAGAGTAGGCAAAATAAATACCATTACCGAGCTATGCATCATCGGCTGGTTCAAATTTATATTTAAAAGTCAATTCATGATAGTACTTTGCTTACTAGTTATGCTTACCCAAACTTTTAATTAATTCCGGATTTTACTGAAATTAAATGTTAAAGCACTTGTCTTATTGCCATTTTTACTCTTTTTCGTCTTTCTCCTTCAAAACACAGATATTCATACCTTGGTTATAAAAGTGTTTTAAATCTCTACTAAAATTTAGGATATTAAATTTCACCACTTAACCAGGCCTTCCATTATTAACTTTGAAATAAAACCAGAAAGAATTGCCCTTAGTGTTAGTATCAACTTTCATGAGTAAATTGTATTCATTTTCCTATACTAAATAAGCTGAGTCAAGGTTACCACACTCAAAATGAGAATCAAATTGAAGTAGGGTATGCTAGTTAATAAAATGTGGAATTTTCGTTTCCATTTAATTCATAGAATAGTTATAGAACTCTCTAAATTGTTCTCTTTCAAGATTTTCATTTTTTATTCCTGCAGCGCTGTTCCTTAAATAAATCTACAGTAGTTTTCTAGTCTCGCATAGATTGGTTGGTTTGTAAGAATCATATATAGGATATTTAAAGTAATTGGGGTACTTTCCTTTATCAATATTGACATGATTTTATAGTTTGATTTAGTCTGCATATTATTAGAGTTTTTCTTAAACTTCCTAAGATGACTTGATTTTGTCCTTCTTTTTTTAATTGTTTTTTTCTGCTAATTGACCATTTTATTTTTTCGGTTTAAGTTCCTAATCACCATTTGATATTGAATCTTCTTCTAAGAAATCTTAATCTTCATCAATCTTTTCAATATTATCTGAATTCTACTTAAAGTCATCAAATGTATGTTTTCTTCACCATCTAATAAACAAAGTAAATGTTAAAAATGTGTCAATTACTTTGGAATTGCTGCACCTTCTTAATAAGCACTTCCTCTGGGTAATATTGGAAGAGGCTTAAGGAAGTCATCAACATATGACGTTTAAATCCTTGTATTATCTTCAGAATCATTAATATTAATTAGAGGGATTAAATTTTAGTCTTTTTCTGTTTCAATTCTTAGATTATTTTCTTAATCACTAGAGTCTTTATCACTATTGATACTTGACATTTTAGTAATAAATTTTATTAAATATTGTATAATCTGATACTAATACTAATATTTTTCAAAATTGAATTTATATTTAACTTAGGGGTTTTGGGGTTTTGGGG